TTATATTAATAATTACCAGTAGATTCTGTAAGCTCCTTATTACTTGATGAGTATGTTTCATTTTTTACTTTGAAAAAATCATACATTTTGGTACATTTTTTTCCTACTGATGCCAACAGTTTCATTTTTTTTTCTCGGATTTTCTCTGCACCACCTTTACGTTTATTTGAATTCATTTTGATTATGTTTTTAACTAATATTTTTCAAGTATAAAAAGATTCAAAATAATTAAAATTGCACAGCACCAATCCTTGTATAGTTGACAGTTGTATAATTAATATAATACACTAATTTCTAATACMGAATACTTATATACTATTGTCTATTATAAGAAAAAAAATAAAACTGTTAAATGTACGTTAACAACAAGACAATGTTGYATAAATGCGAAATATTATACGCGACTACGCGAGTATGCATCATCAACAGCAAACATGACAATAATAAATCGAATGTAATAATAATAAAGTATTAACTGCAATAGAATGAGCCAATGAGGGACAGTGGTWAATTGATAATGAAATTATTAATAGTATCTGTGTACTGCATCGTTATGRCGGAAAACGGAATCCCGTTTATTTTTAGTTTCCATTTTTCAATCAATTATACTATTGTCTATTACTGTAAAAGTCTGTTATCGCTGTTTTTTTATAACCCATAATATTTAAAGTTTAAACACAGAAAAGATTAGCTTTTTACCAACTTATTTTTTATTGAGCATTACCGGTGTGGTGGCCCAGCTTGGACCAGTTCGGCCCTTACAAATATGTTCAAACCGTCCAGGGGCAGCAAGAGCACACCTTGCTGCCCCTGTGCGCACGCCTATGATAGGTGATGTAAAACATAGCAGAGTGATCTGCAAATACGTTTTGTAGTACAGAGAATTAAAATATGAAATTTTATTTTGCATATTTTTGCATATTTTAAAGGTTTTTGCATATTTTTTGCTTATTCGACGATTTGTAATGATTGGTGGTTAATATAATTGTTCAAAATGTATTAATTAAAATGTTGAACGATTAATTGCGAAAATTTGTTTTGTAGTAATACTATTTGTGTAGCTATCTGTCACAAAAATGTAGTACGTGCACTTGATTTATAAATACCTACTCAACAAATCGAAAACCATGTAGTTATCTGAGTTATGGTTAATTGAAAAACGTCTGATATGTGTACTTATCTWCAGGCTACATTCGTATCGCTCGGCAAGTGATTAAAATAATCTAATTTATTGAGAGATCGATAAACTGCACCGGTACACCAGTACAATTACCTATTAGTTCGTTGTTTGTCATCGTGAATTCGAGTTCGATTTATTGTGTGTCTGTGCGTTTCATAGCTTTAGTAAAATAATGCCAAAAGAAAAWCAATCAGTATGTGGTCGTTTAAGAAGCTATGTAACAGAATTTGGTTCTGATACTTTTTCGATAGTCGCGAACAGTTTATTTTGTAAAGTGTGTGAAATTTGAATAAGTTCAGAGAAAAAAATTAATGTTAGCCAACATATTAGTACTGTTAAACACCAAAAAGCTCTCAACTTTTAACTGTAGCTATAAAACAACTACAGACACATGTTCCATTAACAGATTCGCTAAAACTTATAGAGGATATTGAATCGAAATTATGTAATTTACACGGACCATATGGAATTGYGGTGTCAAAAAAACTTGATCAAGTATTAATAAAAAACAAGGGTTTAAATAGTTTAAAACAAATATGTAAAATTATCACCGGARGAGAGTCTATGGATCTTCGTTCAATAGCAGAAGATCTAACATGTAATGATCTGTCATTTTTCAAGTATGCTCCCATTACTTCCGTCGACGTGGAACGTTCATTTTCGGCATATAAGTGTATTCTAGCCGATAATAGAAAAGCCTTCCAGTTCGAAAATGTTCGAAAACATCTAATAGTTCAATGCAATCACAAAGGCACTAAGATTTAAATTACAAWTTTTTTTATTTTTTTAAATATAAAAAAATTAATATATTATATATACCTATTTATTAATACATATTATATCAAATAAATCTTTTTTGTTAATGGTTTTTAAATTTTTTTAAAATTTTTTAGTGCATATTTTTAAGTTTATTGGGTCATATATAAGCGCATATTTTAGTGCTTTTTAGAGCTATAAGTCCCGAACCCTGATAATCACATAACAATAGAATCACCTAATTTTAGTACAAAAACAATTAAGTTATTATTAGACACAGGTAGCGATAATATTGTTAAAATAAATTAATTAATAGGCAAAACGGTAATAGACGAAAATCAAAAAATATATTTAAAAGGGATAAATGAAAAAATAGTACCGACTATAGGAAAAACTAAAATAAAATTAATAATTGATAAAAAAGAATTTATAACAGAATTTCAAGTAGTGAATAAGCAATTTCCGGTTGAAGGCGATGGCATTTTAGGACATACATTTTTAGTAGACAATAATGTTGTTATAGTGCAACACACCTCCTTCGTCTATCAAAACTAAGTGGTTGTCGATATTTATACCAAATCCTATCCAGTTAAGGAGTAGTTGGTTAGCTATTCCTACTACACGAACCAGTCTTGAGAACCGGGTTGTTGGATCGATAAAAATAAAGTTTCCTAAGTTATATTTTACAGGTCCTAGGAACTTATGACCTGCGTTCAAAGACTAACACAATGGAACACGATATAGTAACGCAAAACAAGATATATTAAATAATTGAATAATATCTATAGTATATAGTAAACTATCACCTGAGTAACCCTGTTCTTGAGGGTAGTATATTGAAGATCACAGGAATAGCGGAGCACGAGCTGAACAATTATTAAATTATTTTTACAAGGTAGGCTTCAATGTGTGTTTGGACACGACCGTGGTTTAGACTCGACTGTCTGGCTATATTTTATAATATACATATATGCTCGTACTCTACGTTCCTGTGTTCTGTTAACCTAGGCTAAATCGGCGAGCGCGACATAAATGATGAGTCAGTAATCTGTAAATCGTTACAATAGATATTGCAAATAATATTTTAACAATAAATAATAATAATGAAATAAATGATGATAAAATATATTTAGAACCTAGAACGGAAACAATAACATCGATTGACATTGTAGATAAAAACATGAATAATAAAAATATTTTAATAAATAAGCTACAGTTATCAGCAGATGTATATTGTGCTAATATATATATAATACAGTCAGGGACGGAAAAATTATAATAAGTGTGTTAAACATATCGGAAGCGAAACAGGATATCAAAGTAGGTGAAGTTAATAGAATATCATATGAATGCGACATTGACATTGATGTCATTGAAATAAATAATGTACAAAATAATAATTAACGCGTAAATAAAATAAGGAGTTTGATTAGGAGCGATCATTTAAATTCGGAAGAACGAGAATCGATAATAAAAATTTATGAACAATATTTCATTTAGAAAATGATTATTTAACAATAACAACAGCAGCGGAACACGTAATCAAAATACCTAAAGACACTCCACCTATTCACAAACGACCGTATCGTATCCCCTTTTAACAACAAAAAATAATCTAAGAACAAATGGAACGGGATGATATTATAGAAAAATCTATGAGTCCTTTTAATGCACCATTATTATTAGTAAAGAAAAAAGCTGATTTGTCAGGAAAAGAAAAATTTAGAATAGTTATAGATTTTAGAGCAYTCAATGATKTAACTAWAAATGAATTTCACCCTTTACCAAATATTACGGAAATATTAGATCAATTCTAGGGTACTTACAGCTTTTTTGACAAGTCAAGGACACTATCATTATAAACGTATGAGTATGGGACTCGCGTCCGCACCAAGTACATTTGCTAAGGCTATGGCTAATGTAATGGCAGGTTTAATAGGTATAAAATGTCTCGTATATTTAGATGATATAATTATATATGGAAAAAATTTGAATGATCATAATCAAAAATTAATCGATGTATTCGAACGATTACGTATTCATAATTTAAAAATAGAACCAGATAAATGCGAATTTCTTAAAAAGGAATGTTTATTTTAAGAACATATAATTTCAGAACATGGAATTACACCAGATCCAAATAAAATTACTTCAGTTATGAATTTTCCGACACCGAAAAACGTTAAACAAATTAAAAGTTTTTTAGGACTTAGCGGTTAATACCGAAAATTTATAAGTAATTATAGTTCTATAGCTAATCCGATGACAAATCTTTTAAAGAAAGACGTAAAATTTAATTGGGATGATAAATGCCAACAAGCTTTTGATAAATTAAAAACAATACTTTGTTCAGAACCAATTTTGAAATACCCAGATTTTACGAAAGAATTCATACTTACAATCGATGCTAATGGTAAAGCACTAGGGCCAATTTTATCACAAGGCAAAATAGGGAGTGACTTACCAATTGCTTATGCATCACGAACATTAAACAAATCGGAATTAAATAATTCAACAACAGAACTAGAATGTTTAGCAGTAATATTCGGAGTAAAACAATTTAGACCTTATCTATAGAGCAGAAAATTTACAATATTTACTGATCATAGACCATTATCATGGGGTATTTAATTTAAAAGATCCATTGTCCAAATTAGCGAGATCGCGTATTGAACTTGAACAATATAATTATGAAATTAGATATAAACCGGGAGTACAAAATGTTATGCTGTCTTGCTATAATTTAGTGTGGTATTGTCATTCAACGCACCTAGTTATATATTTTTATTTTAAATAATATTTTAAGCAATTTTTTTTTTAAATGTAAAACATGCACGAATTATTTTATAAAAAATTTCAGGATTAAATATCTAAAAAAAGAAATAATAAATTTTTTTTCTATCAGCTGAAAAGTATACATTTTTAATTAGTTAAGTGAAAATTTCAAAAGATAAATCTAATAAACAACGTTTATTAATTTAATATCAATCACTGATGTACAAAGAGATCAACAAATGCTGTAATAAGTAATATTTTTAAATAATCATAATTTAAATACCTAATAATAATACAAATATAATATAGTATAATAATAATAATGATTTTTTTGATTTAATTAATATACTAAACCTATGTCAACATTAACCAAAATCTTGTTGTTTATGTCAATACCTATTGACCAAAATCCTAACGTAAATGTCAACATCCACTAGTAAATGTCTGTATTATTTTATTACTTTATTACAAACAATTGTTACAGGGACTAATGAACTTATTTCTAATGGAATTATATGCCATTTAAAAAGTAAAATTGAACCTATTTTAAACAAGTGTACTCCGAAACAAATCCAAGAAATAGATAAACTATTTAAAGTGTTAGTTAATCCATTTGCCAAACTTGATACTAAATTCCTTAGAATGAAATATCTTGAAGAAAATAATTTATATGTTAAACCAAAATCTGTAGTCGTAGGCTATACTAAAGAAAAGAAAATTGAAACTGGTATAGAGCGTTTGTTAATGGTACCAATAGAAGGAAATTTAATATCTTTAAAAATAAATCTTAAATCTTTTTTTGAACTACCTGGTGTATTGGATATAGCACTAAATTATTTAAAAAATTCAATGAAATCAAATTTACTTTCATCATACTTCAATGGTTCTTCATGGAAATATATATATTCCATGTTTCCAGATAAAATAGTGTTTCCCCTTTTTTTATACTATGATGATGCAGAAATGGGTAATCCTCTAGGATCCCATTCAGGAGTTCACAAAATGGGTTGTGTTTATTATTCTGTTGCTGCTCTTCCTCCTGAATATCTTTCATCTTTAAATAATATTTTTGTAGCGTTTTTATTTCATTCTGCTGATCGAGGATAATCAAAAATTAATAATAAAAAAAATGTTTGCAGCTCTAATAAAATAACTAATTGATGTTCAAGAAAATGGTATTCTACTTTCTACTAATGTTACAATTTATTTTACTTTGGGGCTTGTTTTAGGAGATAATCTAGGTCTCAATTCTATTTTGGGGTTTGTTGAAAGTTTTTCAGCAAATTTTTATTGCCGAATATGTTATTTACCAAAATCTGACCTTCAAAGTTTGTTGAAAGAATCAACATTAATCAGAAACAAAATTAATTATGAAGATCATATTAATCAGGCTAATGTTTCAATGACTGGTATAAAAGAACGTTGTATTTTTAATGAAGTACCTAATTATCATGTAGTTGAAAATATAGTTTGTGACTTCATGCATGATATTCCGGAAGGAGTAGCTCGCTATGATATGGCAGTCATCATTAATAGTTTAATTCAAGCAAAATATTTCACTTTAGATGAACTTAATAGTCGCATACAACTTTTTGCATATGGAGTGACAGAACAAAAAAATTCCCCACCTAGCATTAATCAGCGCAATTTAAACAATGGAAGTATAATAATGTCAGCATCAGAGGTGCTATGTTTCATTAGATATTTTGGTCTTATTATTGGAGAATTAGTTCCTTCAAAAACTGAAGTTTGGTATTTATATATTTCATTGCGAAAAATAGTTGATTTGTGCTGTGCTAGAACTATTCAACCAGAATGTTCAGTTCAGTTAGATGCTCTAGTTGCTGAACATAATAGATTATACCTTAAATTTTCCAATAGCAAATTAAAACCTAAACATCATATCTTAACACATTATGGTAGACTTTTGTTAAAAAATGGCCCAATTATTTTAACTTCTTCAATACGTTTTGAAGCTAAACATAAGGTTTTGAAATCAATTGCTAATTCTATCCCATGTATAATAAATCTTAGTTATACTGTAGCCCATAAATTGTAAATGCAAAATGTTAGTCATTTACTTACACAAACTGGTTTAGTGGCAGATTTAAATGTAGGAAAAGCGAAAAGGTCAAGACATTTCATTTCATAAGGAATTGTTTAAATCATTTGATGGTGTAATACCACAATAAATAATTAATTTTTCTTATGTAGTACCTTGGTGTAAATATAAATATATATTATAAACCAGGAGTGATTTTAACTCTGGGTGTTAATCTAGATGACTGTGTTTTTGGAGAAGTAAAAAGAATAATTATTGGTCACTCTAAAATTCCATATTTTTTAGTTACAGCCATACAGTCTGTAGGATTTGACTGTCATCTCCATGCTTATGAAGTATTACCTTATAATAATAATAACCAAATTATGGGATATTATATTAATCAATTACCTGATGTCATTCCTTCGGTAACTCGAGTTTTAGGCAATGGTAAATTGTATGTTACTTTAAGATATAAATTGTAGTGTTTTATATTTTTTTAACTTTTTTTTTTTAAGTAATAAAAGCCTCTTAAATAAAATACTTTTAAGTTGTTTTCAATATTTGTTTTATTTGAATCTAATCGATAAAAAAGTTTGCAATGAAGATATTATATTAAGCTTGTTATTTGTATTTATTAATTAATTTGTAACATTAAACTAAATTAATTGTTTTATCTGCATTTATTTATTCATAATTTAGATAAGTTTTATCACACGTTCGTTTCATTTCCTGTATATCTTTATTATTCGTGTTGCTAACGATACAATTTAAGGTACCTATTATATATTGAGAGGCAATTCGTATTTGTTTTATTTTATCTCATTAGCATGGGCGAATATTGAGGAACTCAAGTCCTCTCAAAACGTAATCAAGCCACATCAGACGGTTGAAAAGTCTAAAAATATATGTTAACATGGATCAGACAAACAAGCCCCCTAAAATGTGATCAAATAATTATCTACCAATGTTCATTACTCATTATTGAATTACCTGCATCAATTTTTTTTATAATATCTTATAATTTACACGGGTAAATTGTTGATATTTTTCTATTTAGATAACAGTGTTTTTACTAACATCATCAAGTTAGGTAGTGGCTCAGTAGGTTAGGCGTTAGGTRAGGAAACAGTAGATAATTCCCGAATGAAGTTCAAATYCTTCACTGGTACTAATATTTTTTGCATTTTAAATGTGTAAAACAAAATTGATTATAACTCCTTAAAATAGTTGAGATAACATTAATGATGTAGTTATACTGATAATTATTAGGAAGTAAATTAGAACTGAAACTCGAGTTGTATTAACTAACCAGATAGTTGAATTAACATATAATTATGTAGTTGTAACGATATTTTTATGAAATTAATTTAAACTATAACTTTAAGTTGTATTAATTAACATAGATAAGTTAAACCAAGTGGTTATTATTAACTACATAGTGTAGTCAAATCCATACTTTTTCATCCTTAAGCGAAATCTAACGCTCGAATGTGCACGGAATTGACTTATTTGGTGATCAAAACAACTCCACAGTTTTATGTGTGGACTATTCAAGTATTTTTGAACTGATATGACGGTAAAATGATTCGATACCAGTACTTTTTTATCAATATGAGTTAAGTATCGAAACCATGGTATCGATACAAAAAGTACTTGTATCGAAAGAAAAGTATCGATACTTTAATGGTATCGGTAGTATCGCAACGTCCCTAGTTCCAGCAAAGCAAATTTAAAACATCTAACAAAATGTTTTCTGTTCCATCAGTGCTGTAACTTGTTTTCAACTTGTTGGAAACAATAATTTTTTGTTGCTAGTTATACGTTCAGTCTAATGTTATGCGCATGCGTACAATGTAAAATATTAATTATTGTGTTTTTGTTTTATTCAATTGATAACGTATTAACGTCAAGAGTCTTGAGTCGTTTAATGTTTATTCGTTTACTGTGCTTACGAGTTACGAGTGACAGCTTAAATCATGTTTTTTATATTATATTTTTATTTTATTTATTGATTGAAATTTTGAGATAGATTTTGAATTTTCGACTCCTCGTCCACGTCCTCTTCATCATCTAACAGCTATGAATTTTCAGTTGGTAGCGACGATGAAGTTTATTTTGAAGACAGAACAAGACCGAAAATGAGAACTATTTTGAGATTGWAGCAAGGWAGGTAAGCTTTTGTTAATTACATTTGAGTAAACTACAAACAACAAATGGTAAGCAAACATTCCCCTCTCGGGTTTAAATTGTAACTTTTTTATCATTTATAAAACTTAGAGGCAGTTTTGGTAAATTTGTTGCTGGTTATTGATTTGGCAACATAAATTCTTTGTTTTTTTATTTCGGTACAATGACTTAGAGTTTATGGAACATTTCCGTGTTAGACGCCACATTGCCACTGGAGGACATGGAAAAATATCTGCCTACAAACAAGTAAATCACTATCAAGTTACTTATTTTCTCTATTTGACTCTAACCTTAAGTCCTAAGATAGGAGTTAAATACTATTAATGTTTTAAATAGAATCAATTAATTAATTAACTTTTGTGGAGTTCCAAAATGTTCAATTATTTCTTCCCATAATTTGAGTCTATTCACACTGTCATAAGCTTGTATTTAATAAAAAAATACCATAATTTATAAATTAATACAAACCATAATAATTAACTTATTTCAAATACCTACATATTTTGGTTTAAAAATTTGTATAAATAGAGGTGCTAAATTGTGTATTAAATTAAATATTAGTTATTAAGTCTGTTAAATAAATCAATATATTTTATTTAATTTATATAATGTAGGTATTGCTTAAACAACAATAAAGATTTWAAAAAAAAAAATTTAAAAACAATAAATTATTGTTCTGATTCTGAAACTTATCTTAAATTATTAAACCTACTCATTTTTTTAGATTTTAATTTTTCTTTGGTTTGCTGGACATCAGACTTCCTCTTTCCGAGATGTTGCTGATTCGTTTGGCACAGTGGTTCCCAACCTTTTACGAGTGTGTCCCTAAAATTTTAAATTTAACTTTTGGCGACCCAAAAAAAAGAACATAATTGCAAGCATCGCTTTCATTTATTAACTTCAAAGTGGTATCTATCCTCAAATACTAAATATAATAAATTTATAAAATACAAATAAAAAACTGATCAACATACGTGACTTAGGTACGTCTTAAAATATTATAAAAAGCAATTTATTCTTTGTTTCAAATTTGACATGGTATTAATTGTATCAACTCTTATTTAATGATTTCCTTGATGCTGAACATATTCCACGAGTTCTTCAATATTTGGATGTATATTCATTGAAAGTGCACATTGCATATCGTGTTGAGCGTCAAGCCGGTTTCTATACTTTGTTTTGATGACAACTAACGTAGAAAAACCGGCTTCACATAAGTATGTGGTTGGGAATGGTAGCAATGCATTTTTGGATTCTCTTGATAAAATCGGTTTATCTTTAAGTTGTGCCCAAAATTTTCTTTTAAGACATGACTGGCATGAAGGTCAAAAAGTTCTTCTTGGAACCCTCAAATGTCTTCACCAACTTCGTGAACAGAAATTTCAAAAGGATTTCTTACCCAACTGTATTTACTGAGCTCTACGTTTTCTGGTATATATCGATCGAGTTCTAACTGTAATTTGTCCAAGTATGCTTGAAGCAGTAATTTTAAGTCATTTAATGTTACCTTTGTTGAATCTTCAAGAAATTCACTTAAAAGGGTAAATGTAGCAATTTTTCCTTGAAACAGTTTTTCCCGCCAAAGTGCGAGCTTTTGTTTGAATGATGAGAATTTTTCGCCAATATCGACCATTGTCCTATTCTTCCCCTGCATTTTAATATTCAATTCATTTAACCGTCCAAAAATATTACTTAGAAAAGTCAATTTAGCGACCCACGAATCATCATTAAGTTTATCAGCCAATGTGTGTTTTTTTTCCGTCAGAAAAATTTGTATTTCTAAACRCAAAGGCATTACACGAGTAAAAATTTTTCCACGGGAAGGCCAACGTAAATACTAGTGATAAAGTAAATTTACATATTGTGATCCAATCTCGTCACACATGGCATGGAATATTCTTGAATTTAATGCTCTTGATTTTTTGAAATTAACAATTTGAATTACGTCTTGAAGTACTGAAAAAAGTTCTGGCTGAAATGTTCTAGTAGCTAAATTTTCTCGATGTAAAAAGCAATGAATAATAAAACATTTGAGTTAACTTCCTGAACTCGTTTACAAAATCCTATTCGATTCCCAAGCATTGCCGGTGCACCATCCGAACAGATTCCAACGCAATTACACCAAGCTAGATTATTTTTAAGAAAAATCCTTCAACTTTATTAAAAATATCTAAGCCTGTTGTCGTTGTAAGAAGAGGCTCACAAAATAAGAATTCTTCACGAAAATCGTTAGTACTTCGATAATGTATGAATACCATCAATTGTGCGTTATTTTGAATATCAACAGATTCATCAATTTGTATGGAAAATGTATTAGCTGCAATCGCTTGATGTACTAGCTCTTTTAAAATATTTTCAGACATAAGGTCTATTCTTTGTTTAACTGTGTTATCCGAAAGTGGGATTAATTCCAATTAGTTAGCAATGTTATCTCCGCAGACCATTCTAACCATAGAAATAGCTGCTGGTTTGATAAGTTCCTCTCCAATGCTATGTGCCTTTTTAGAGCGTGCGATTTTCAAAGCAACGTCAAATGATGCTTTTGTTGTTTTCTGTAATGAAACTGTAAGTGTAKTGGACGGACAATCAAGACGCATACGTTTTATTTTATTTTTATAGTCCATGGATAGTAACTATCAAACAACTGTAAGTTACCATGACTAAAAGCTACAGAGTGTTTTCCTATTTTATATGAATCACTAGCTTGATCATAATGCAAACCATAAGATTTATCATAACGTTTTATTACATGAYGTTTATTATCTAAAAMATTTGTAAATGATGGATCTAACTCATCGTCATCATCTTCATCACTAGAGCATAMATTTTCTTTGTTCATTGTGAATAATATATATGTATATATAATATATATATATATGTGTGTACTTAAAATTTGTTTATTTTAATAAACGTATRAAAWCCGCATCTATATCTTCCTTCATTCAGTTCCYGCGTTTTATCGATAACCAAAAACCCGTAGTTGCTGCGATTCCAACAAAAATGATGATACAGCTTATTCAAAATGTTCGTTTTGCAGATTTGCAGTTATGCAAAATATGAATAAAGATATAACATGTATTCAACAAATTAAAATAAACTTTCCAATCACCCCAGATTTAAATGGTAAAATTTAAAAATGGTGTTAATATTATAACATGATACAATAACATGATCTCACTACTAATTAAATATTATTTAATGACAACACCAATCATTGACAGAAAAATTTAGTATTTATCATTATTCAGTAAACAATATTATTTTAAATTAAAAAAAAAAAAATATATTACATTTTAATAATTTATATTGAGAATTTAAACTATTACCTAGGTACTTAGTAGTAATTTAAGTATAAATATTAATCACATAGGTACCCACATTAAAAAAATTCTTTATATGATTTACACAATTTACATATTATGTGTATTTATTATACTGTGTGTAATTACTGATTAACATCTATATGACYAAATATGTATACTATAGGTATAGATTATTAGATTATAGGCAATTCTTCGCTATTGCAAGATTTCTCAGATATTAATTTGTTATTTATCTTCTGGATGTTAATTAATTATTTTTATTTTAGACCACTTTGAGCCAAGTCTCCGTGGTAATGTAACCATATATATTTCGGATTCTTCATAATTTTGAAAAAAAATTATATCGCTTGTGTCAATAACAAAATTGATGCATATTGCAAATTTTTTTTATTTAATATATTTAACGTACGAAGAGCTAAAATTAGAGTTTGTGTATGTACATTTTGTAGGTATAATTGTGGATGGAACAAAAGATATGAATATGCCAGTATTTTGATAATTCAAAAGCTTAAAACATTTCTTTGTAAACGACGTTATCAACTTTTTCTGGATCGGAGGCAAAAATATACAAATTAGTAATTCGATTAAGCGAACTATTCGATAAAGACTCAAATGGCTGGCTTGAAAAATTTCAGAAAAAAAATAATATTTCTTTTAAATCAGTTAGCGGCGATAACTGGAAAACAAAAATACCCGAAATTATTAATTATTGTAATAAATGTATGAATAATTAATGTAAAAATAAAATAAAAATTTAGGTAACTGGTTTTATTTTTCGTAAATGTTAGTTTTATCGTGTATGTAATTAATGTAAAAATAATATAAAATAAAATTATTGAATTTATTTATTTATTAAAAAAAATGTTTTCCTCTAAATAGTGGACAAAATTTCGGCGACCAAGAGTGTCCGCTGTTCAGAAGTTTCACTGTATATATTAAAGAAGGTTTTTCGTTATAAAACACAAATAAATATATTAGAGTAATTATGCTTTTTATATTCTGCCCCCCTTCCAGAAAAATAGTTTTTGCGCCACTGGGTTTGGGTAGTTTGCAGTTACTGCCGGGTGTTCAGTAATCACCATATTTGTGTACAAGTAATATGACTAAGATACGATAGTTAATACTTGGTAACAACTTTTAGTATATTGTGTGAAATTTGTAWTTTATCGATTAATTAAATTATTTTCCACCGCTACCATTCCCGTATTAACTTCTGATATTTTTTTTTATTATAGTCACCCTAGGTTACAGTATACAATAAATAAATAACTTTGTACTAAATTATACCGAAGAAATTTTGTACATAAAATTAATAATTTTATTTCATACTTAAATTATTGCAGTTAGTCTAATTACGAACTATTAAAACCATAATGATCACTATACAATGTAAGGAGCATCAACTTTGGTCAGCAGACCCTATAAAAGCAATGAAAGCGTTTTACGATTGTCAAACCCGTCAAGTAACATCACAAATAAATAAATATAATAAATACATTTTTCATTTATAAACTGGATGGTAATTTATATTGGTTCTCAGATTATCACAATTTCCAGTTTAATGTTTTTTGAATATTTTCAGTGGTGGCGCCAGAATTATTTTTTAGGTAGGGCCAATAGAATAACGCCAACAATTATAAGGTAGGACCACAAAAAAAATTAAGTTAGGTATGAAATAGGAAAATATCTTTAATTTTTAAATTATTTTTCATTTCATAACGGCTAGTTGACTTTTGTAATATTTTTAATTCGGATTTTAAGCTTTCAATGTGTTACGTCCCGACTGAACGTCGATTCATACATCAACGTAGAGATGAAATACTGATGTTTACAATGTAATAATGTCTTAATTTTCACAAATKTATTAATACTTGATACAAAAATACAGTTTATATGCTATAAAGGTGTTGGTGAGCGGTGTTACGACCTTACTCTGAAATATTGTTTTAAATGACAATGARTGGTTTTACGACCTGCCTCTAAGTGTCTTAAATGTCCCTAACCGTCTGATGAGCTCTTGTCGTGGTCTCTCTTATATATGCTCGTGTCCGTAAGAGTAGGTGGTCGTACGTGGTGGTGAAATCTGGCACAAGGCAGAATTTGAGTCTCCTAGTGTAATTGGATAATTCTAGTCGATTCACATCCTCTCTTAGTAACACAGAATTTTTCCGAGAAGAAACGTGTGACAATGCTTTTATAGTTTAATTATCTACGTTTTTTTACGATGACCTCAGTATGTTATTTTATATTAATTGCCTACTTAGTTATATCACCACTCATAGTAGAAACGTACACTATGTTTTGAATATTGATAGRGTACGTAACATATGTCACCTAAATAAGCTTGTACAAAAAGAAGTATGGTATCATATGTAAAAATGTCGAAGATGCTGGATTAAAAGCACTTATCCCGTTGATTATCTAACTTATTTGTTATTTTGTCCAAAGTACAATAGAATACTCCAGATCTAAATTTGTTTTCTTCTATCGGCAATAATTGTTTTTCCATAGTGCTATATTCATGTATACATTTTTCTAATCTTTTTGGTGTTTTTTAAATAATTATTTGTTTAACTTTGTTTAAATTATGCAGATGGATGTGTTATATCACAATTTTTTGAAATTTTGGCTGCTTCATCATAAAATATTTTGTGTTTTTATAGGATTTCTAAGTTCCAAAAAGTGTTTTTTTTTTTGTAAATTCCACTAATATAATACAATTAGCCATAATATCAGTTTTAAAATCTTGTAAATATTTTCTCTACTTTGTATTTGTATTCAGAATATAATATCAACAAATACCAATAATAAATAAACAAATTTTAAATCAATTTTTCTTAATAGTCCTTCGGCTCCAAGAGAACATTAATTATTTATGGAAAAAGATGATTTATTTAAAAGCAAATAAAACAATTTAAAGAGTATTTTTTATAGCTTTACAACAATAAACTAGCGAAGACTATCTTGTTAGACATAGGCGTTTTATTTCTACTGGTTTTTAAAACCCGGTATTTAATACCTCCTTTTTTAATTCGATAAATTGTGAATGAACTACAGAACTAGAAAAAAAACATATAACTCGCGTAACAAAGTAAAGAATAAATCAGCTTCTTCTATATTTTGTGCTACATCAACTTTTATTAGATTTAGTCTGTGGTTTGCGCAGTGAGTATATATTGCTTGAACGACTTTATTTAAAAAAATAGCTTACACACCATTAACGTAGCCCCGCATAACGCTTGCTTCATCGTACATTTGTGCCACCAATTATTGATATAAATTTGGCATTTACTAAAAACTCGTTTTATAA